AAACAGATGAAAACTTAAGTACTTCGCTCTTTAGTAGTACATTTAGTATGAATTTTTAAATACAGTGGAAAATAAGTATTTACAAATCTAGCTTGGGGGAGAAATAGCTAATTCTTACAAACCTTTCAGCTTTCAGCTAAGAGAGGAACGATGCCCAGAAATACCTTCCCACCTGAAACAATAACAGTGACAAAAAAATAAATATAAAAATAGGAAATAGCAGTTTTGTAGACATGCGAGGTGGCAGCAAAAAACACCTGAATTCCAGAAGAGCAAGTCGTCTTCTTGATGTGGTTGCTGATGACGGTGCAGGTTGGCGGAAGCAGTCCCACAAATGGAACCTTCTCAGACCAGTTACAGAAAATGTAACCGAGCAGGACCCTGTGGGGCTTTCCCAGGACAGACCCTTCCCCGTATCCTCTGCTGTAGCCCCCTCTCCGAAGTACCCAGATCAGAGGATCTGGTGCAAACTTCCCGAGCTGTTTTACAGATGCTAAAACCACCGCTGAATGGACGAAATTAACTCCTTGACGATCATGAGCCCCCAGACCTACTGGCGCCTAAGGATTGGTCACGTTACCTGCCCTATGATCTCACCATCAACCAGTCAGAGAACTGTGCACAAGCTGATCACGTACCCAGCGACACGCTGCCCTCCCTCACCTGCTCTTTAAAAATGCCTTGCTGAAACCCTCTGGGAGCTGGGGGTCTCAGAGCACAAGCCACCCGTCCCCCTTGGACTGGTGCCTTTACAATAAATGCTGCACTTTCCTCCACCCCAAAACAAACAAAAAACAGCAAGAACGATGACACCAGAAGAACTTCAGGCGATGAAGGACAGTGATTCTAACGAGATACAAAGCAGGTGCGGTGAGTCCTACGGCTGCCCCAGCTTGCCGCCCTGAGAGAGTCTCCCCAGCACAGTGGAGAAGGGAGGACCCAGGCAGAGCCCAGAGCACTCCCTGAGATGGAGACAGCGCTGAGAGTCCGGGAGGTAAAGGAGGCTGGAATTTGCAGGGCAAAAAAGAAGAAAGGTGATTGCTGCTCAGAAGGCGAACCCTTGAGAGCTGCAGAGGGTCCCCTTCGACTGTTCAGCAGAGAACTGAGCAGCCCGTGTATATCAGGAGACTGCCAGGGAGCAGTGAAAGATCTCTCGGGAAGGATGGGAGGAAACAGTCCCTGGTGCTCACGCCAGCGCCAAGGATATGTGTTTGCATCCCCTCAGCCAAGCTGGGAAACGCCGTAATTCCTGAGACCTGGCGTAGAGCACTCGTAAGCTCTATAAAACTGATGTGAAGGAAATGTGAAGCCAGAGCCTTCAGCAAGCGCACCCCAGGGCAGCGTCTGTCCTAGCAGGAGCCCAAGAAGGTTCTTATGTCCTGACTTGGATTGCTTCACCGTCTCGCCATACTGGACTGCTGGTAACATATGCAAACATGCAGCGAATTAAACTAATTCGGATAATACAAACAATGAATTTCTACTTACCTATGAGGAGTTCTGTATAATCTGTAACTATTAATGTTTTTAAGGCATTATCAACTCAAAGGTATGAGCTGGTTTCCTGTTATGCAGACATATTTGAGATAAAATATACCGACATACCTTGTTTTATGGTGCTTCACACACAGATACTGCATTTTTTACAAATTGAAGGTCTGGGGTAACCCTGCATTGAGCAAGTCTATTGGCGCCATTTTTCCAACATCATTTACTGTGTCATGTCTCTGTGTCATATTTTGGTAATTCTCACAATATTTCAGACTTTTTCACTATTATTATATTTGTTAAGGTGATCTGTAATCAGTGATCTTTGACGTTAACTATTGCAAAAAGATTATGACTTGGTGAAGGCTCAGATGATGGTTAATATTTTAGCAATGAAGATTTATAAATTAAGATATGTACTTTTTTTAGACATAAGGTTATTGAACACTTAACAGACTACAGTCTAGTGTAAACATAACTTTTGTATGAACTGGGAAAACAAAACCTTGTGGAACTCACTTCTCTGTGATGATGCCCTTATTATGGTGGTCTGGAACCAAGCCTGCAGTGTCTCTGAGGCATGCCTGTGTATTATAAAGGCTGGGAAAGAACATCTTCTAGAACTTGCATGTGTTTATGGAAAGGAACTCCCCCAGAAAAGCAGCAGAACTTTCAGGGAGAAGAAGAGGAGGTTAGATACACAAGATGCAGTCAGCAGAGATCTTAGTATTCATTGCTTCCAAATAATCCTTGCTGCCCTTCATAGAGGAGAAGAAAAACTTAAGCTTCAACAATATGTTTCACCATAAAGGGAAAAGCTGAGCTCTCATTTGTACAGTGTCCCTTGCTGAGATCCCTGAAATAATGTCAACATAAAAATCTGCCCTTTGGAAAAGAGCAAGGGTGTTTTTCACGTATGCAGAGGCTGCCACTACTTTTTAAAGATCTCACCCTGGAACATCACAGGGTAGCAAATAAAATGAACTCATCTTTTCTGGGAAGACATATCCCTGTGATGTAATAATTATTTTGTGATGTACATAAGTCAAATCATTCTGCTGTGCACCTGAAACTTTATACAGTGCTGTGTATCAACTGTATCTGCCAAGTTACCCCCACACTATTTTTACAGCTTTCTTAGAGGTCTTCCCATCTCCAAAACACAACTGTGCAAATCATTCATTTTTAAAAGAAGTTAGCTGTGATATTGTAAAAACTTTTTCTTAATTTTTTAGTTAAAATACATGATTTACTATAATTATGTCTGTTAAAAAAAACTTAAGTGTATAGAAAAATAAAATGTAAAGATTAAAAAATAGTACAGAAGTCCCTGTGGTTGGAACAGCTAAGGTCCTTGGCATACTAATTGAATCTTATTTTTTATTAAAGTTAATCCTTTAGCAGTGGATTTTTGGTAGCTTTGTAGAAGCGTTCTTCGTTGGTCCAGTTGGCTGTTTTTTAAGTGACAAGTGAAATATAGTGGTTATTCTCTTTGTAATTAGACTGTATGGAATCAGTGTCCTTGTTCTGCTGGAACTTAAAGCATGAAAAATGTAGGTTTAAAGCATTATTTTCTTCAAGCTACAATATATAAATAATTTAAATACCAAATTAGTGTATAAAAGCAGCTAGATGGCCAGGAGCGACTTAAACACATGCTCCAAGTCACATAAACGTAGTTTACTAAGCCTTTCACTTTTGGTGACAGGAGTATTGATCTCTGTTGAGTGCTGGCCATTTGCCAAACATAACACAGGCTTATTCTTCTTGGTGTCTCATTTAATCCTCACCTCAACCTAATGAGTATTGTAAACCCATTTTGCAGGTACTGAAACTGATCCTTAGAAAGACTGAATAACTTATCAGGTCCCAGGACTATGATGAGAACTCAGGTCTGTCTGAACGTCTCAGCCATGAGTTCACATCAGCAACCTCTGCTTCTCAAATCTGACGTCTTGAGAAATCCTGTTTTTCCCCTGGGCCATCCTGTCTTTTTGGTCTGAATTCCACTTTCCGTATAGCTGGGAGAATTAATCTTTTTGGTGGTTTTGTTTCAGGAATTACAGTTTGAAAGGCTGACCCGAGAGCTGGAGGCAGAACGCCAGATCGTCGCCAGCCAGCTGGAGCGATGCAAGCTCGGATCGGAGACCGGCAGCATGAGCAGCGTCAGGTACTGGGCGCGCTGCTTCTCGGGGCTGGGCTTTCTCAGGCTGGGCTTCCTCGTGCAGTGGAAGTAAATGGTGCTGTTTATCTTCTCCTGACAAACCTGGCAGTGGAGCTGGAACATTCAGTCAGATGTTGGGAAGGAACTGTAACCGACCTGATTTAAGATGTTCAGAAGGTGTCTGAAATGGCCTGATTTGTACTGGAGACACCTTTCACAAAATGTATGCCTGCCCTGAATACAAATTATGCATAATTTTACACAAAACGGAAGCTTTGCATTTAGTCAGTTTCCTGGAGATGAGGAGATGCCATGTCAGTCTCTCAGTTTGGTTCTTTTTTCTAAATGATCCAGAGTTGCAGATTCTGGAAATGAAAGAGTTTGACGTTTTGACATTTACTTGCATTGTTTGCTAATATCTGATGCTACATTATAAAATTGCTCCTCAAATACCAGCCACACGTGCAGTTTCCGTGTGTGAAGACATTTCAAATCCATACGTAGAATGATTATTCAGTTAAGGCTTGACTTGAGATTATGAAGTATTTAAAAACAAAACTTAGTCACTTGACCAAAAAATAAGTTATCTGCCTAAAGACCATGTTTTCATTTGTAAAAATATAAGTGTGTGTGAGTATGAGTGTGAGTGTGGAAGAAACATAAAGCTCTATGAGACAATTTTTATTTCTCAAAGATGCATTGGAATTTCCTGTCATTTTGTTCTGTAATGTGTTTGACATTGTGCATTTTTAAGGAACAATGATTGCTGTGGCAAATAAACTCCCATGTTATAGTGGCTTGACACAAGAGCGATTTGTTTCTCATTCATGCAACAGATAGAAGAGGTGGATGCTGGTCAGGGGGCTGCTTCCCTGCTGCCCTTCCATGCAGTAATTAATGACCCAGCTTCTCTCTTGAGAGCCCTGCCATCCCCTATGGCCTCATCATCAATTGCATCATCAATTACATCACTGCAGCCATAGTCCATTGGTGAAATGTAGTCACATGCCCTCCCATAGATGGAAGTGGGGCAGGGATTCCTAGTCTTGAGGTCTGTAGTCACTCTGCCCAGGAAGCGGGGACATGAGTTTGGTACTCTCTAACCAACTGCTGCCACAAAATAATTAAAAAATCCTTGTATCCATTGCTCTAAGATATTTTATTGCTGTGGGATTAATTTGTAGTTGGAATGTTTCTAGTGGAGCCACCTGCCATTCGTCTTTTAACATGGTTCTTTACATCGTCCAATGGTGATAACCTTTAAATGGGAATCATTGCGCCTCTTGTGAGTCTAAATTTCTTGGATGGAATAGCATTTTCAATTGTAAAGCCTTATTTTAGGTACACAAAAGTGTATCTGCTTCTGCATCCAAGTACCCAGGCTATACATAGTTGCAAATAGGTACATTGTGATCTCTTAAATGCATCATAGGCTTGTCTGAACACCCAAATTAACTAGAGCAGGATGGACAAGAAAAAGGCAAAATGAATTATGTCTACTTGAAATTGTTATCAGAAGGTTCTGGTTGAAGGTGATGAGACTAATGTATAGAGAAAATAGTATTTATAAGTGTGTATTCGATTTTGTACATGTGGTTGTTCATATTTGAAGAGCTTTTTTTAATCGTGAACATCACCTAAGAAGCGAAGTCTGTAAGGTTTTTTAGGTCCATAAACACTGTTGAATTTAGAACTATAGTATTTTGCTTTGAAACCCATTGTTTCCCTGTTGGTCAGATTACGTTTTCAATTCATATTCCTAATCTTTCTGGGTGATACTTTTGCATACTCTACATCTTTTGTTTTGTTTCACCCACCTCCGGCTCTTGGTAACAGCACGTCTAGGGGACCATTCTATATCCTGTGCCTCAGTTCGCAACTTCTGATTGGATCAGAGATGGATATCTAACCCAAGGGTGATTCATCCAGTGACTGGCCTGCAAGAAATTAGTTTTGTACTCTTGGGAATGTGAAATAAGTGCCCCAAATCTGTGACATCCAATGGTGGGTGCTAGGAGATGGTGGCCATGTGGATTGGGTGCTGGTGGAGGACTCTGTGGTGACAGAGGGCAGTCCAATAGAGAGAGACTCTGTGATTCCTGAAAGTCAGAGACCAGTATAGTTGTCACTAGGTCTGGCTGCATTTAGATGTTGCATCTATGAGATTACCTTTGGAATTCTTAAAATTTGAGTTGATTTCTTTTCTTAGGTCCAGTGTTTCATGAATAGAACACATCTGTTAACTACCAAATTCGACAGGAAAATTATCCCATGTCAACTTCTGATTATTTACACTATATTTTGTATTCCTAGCTCACAGCCCATGATACATAATCAATAATTCTGTATTAAATATATATTAAATACAGTCCTGAGTGTGGATGACTGCCTAATTATTTCCCTTTTCCATGTAGCTGTATAATATGTCTTGCATCAAGCTTCATTACTTTGTATTTTGGAAGTATTGAATGTATGAATCTACAGTTGAATAATACAAGCGATTTACTGATATTTCACTGGAGAAAATCCTGATACATGACTTCCACTGTTCTTTTTTTTGTCATAACCTAGTTGTTTGCTCAGCTTCAGAAATGCACGTTTGGAAATTCAAGTCTATATCAAGGGTGATAGACTAACCTAGTTAGCACATGAAAAGGGGGTATTTAAAAATTAAAAGAAAAAATAGAAATGTAAACAATTTTTGAAAAAGGAGAACAGATAAAGAGTGATGATTTAGATGTCGTTTCGTACTTCTTAAGGAGAGGTGAGAGAGTTTCCTAGAGGACATGAAACAAAATAAAATATTTTTCAGTTTTTTTTATATAAATGATAAAAATGACTAATAGATGTAATTTGGCTTTCCTCTGCCTTTATTGGCATTAGGAAATTGCTCCTGTTTCCTGGAGTTACATTGACAGTTTAAAGTTAATAAAAAGATATTACTAGTATGCATTTGTAACAGCCAGATTTATCATAGTCAATCAAATCATAAGAGAGGATGCTGAGAATTTGGAGAAGGGAGAATCTGGAGATATCTATTATTGTAGCGTATCAGCTTCTGCGTCCACGTATCTAGGGGAAAAGTAGCTGCACATAGGAACACTGTGATCTCTTAAACCCTTCACAGACTTTTCTAAGCATCCAAATTCATTATCGTAGCTTGCAGAATTCAGATCAGTTAGTGGCTGTCTAAATGCTAATGTCAGTCCTCTAGAATAGAATTATCGGTGCTTCTTACTGCAGCTACACTTTCACTGTGTGCCTTCTCACCTTCCTATCTTGACTGTCCGCACTGATTTCAGGTCAAACCTTTCCAAGCTCTTGGGTCCGTCTCCCTCCTACAACTAGAGAGTTTGGTTCCATACCTTCCGCCTGATTCCTCAGAACCATCCAGGCCTGAGTCAGGAAGATTATTGGTATAGAAGAGGCCCCTTATTTAGGCCATGGCCACACCCCTCTTGCTGACAGCCCACGTCCGCCCTCTGGCCAGGTGCCTACTAATGGGGTCACATCCGTTCCTCGGGCGAAGACCTGTCAAGGAGGTCTCGGTCTGGCAGCCCTGGGAGTTACCCGGTCCTCTCCCAGACTAGGCTCTTCTAAGTCCCACAGGACCTGCCTGTGCCCATGCCCTTGTCATATTCCCCACAGACCCCTCGAACAGCATCCTGCCTCATCTTTTGCCTACGTTCTGCCCAAACCCATCCTCCACCTGTGTGGGCTTCGGCTGCGTGCCACATAAATCAGAACCGTGTCTGCGAAGGACCCATTCCCTCCTCTGCAATTCCATCAATACGCTACTCTTTCCCGTCTCACATGGTCATGGGCATGCGGCCCCTTCCATCTAGACTATCCTCCCCTTTCTTCTGGTCACCTCCCCCTATGGATCCAGCTGCCCCGCTCAGGGCTCACATTCTTCTGATTGTCTTCTTGATCTGTTCAAATTGGTCCAGGTGTCCTCCCTTCCTGGGGAGTACTTAGAACTTAACAGAGTTTTGGGGATGGGACTCTACTGACCCTTCTAGAAGTTCCTTGCCACAGGAGGTTTTAACCTTCAGTCAAAGGACATTGGGGATTTTCTCAGGTGCTACTGAAAGTTAAAGACAACAAAATAGATGTCTACTTATATCCTTGATCTTCATGGGCAACAGGAATATAATGAGAGAGAAATTGAATTCAAATAACAGCTGGACCTATCTTATGAACTCTTCCTAAAGGAGACCTGACTCTTGGAAGACATGATGATGATGATGATGATGATGATGATGATGATGATGATTTATGACAATGGTCTAAAGCTCAGAGACAAAGGATGTCAAAGATTCAAAGCTAGAGAGATTCGATACATGATAAATTCTTCTTTGGTGGCTTAAAGATGAAGCTAAAGATGTGGCTAGCAATGCATATAGCTTCTAGATACTGAGAGCAATCCCCAGCTGACAGCCAGCAAGGATCTCAGTCTTAGGACCAAAGGGAGTTTAATTCAGCTCACAAATAGTTGGAGTGAACTTGGGAGCACTTTATTCCCCGGAACCTCCAGAAAGGAGAGTAGCCCAGCAGAAACAATGACAGTGACCTTGTAGGACCCTGAACAGAGAACCCAAGCGTGCCACGCCTGAACGTGCCAAAACTTAGAAAACTGTTAGCTAAAAAAAACTGTATGTTGTTCTAAACTATTCTGTTGGTGGTAATTAGTTCTGCAGTAATGGAAAGTGAATACAGTGCTTTTCAACTGGTTGTATTTGATATATATTATAACAAGCTGAAAAGTTTTTAGAGGAAATAAATTTTACTCTGTGACCATCTGTATTCCATTTAAGAGTTTAATGTCTGTAGCCAATTTTATTTTTCATGCATCTTAAATGCATTCATTTGGATTCACATATTAAAATGATCTGTAACTTTGATTCTAAGAAATAGAGGGATCTGGATTTGGAGGGGGGTCGTTATTTACTATAGAGTAAGGACAACGGAAGGGGTCATCTTTAGCTTTGCCTTTTTTATGATAT